ACACACACACACACACACACACACACACACACACACACACGAGATAGACAAAGGGAGAACAGAATTTCTCAGCTTTCCTTTGGACACCCAACAGACCACCTCACAGCCTCCCATGAGTCGCTATGGCCAGGACAGGCACCAGCCCCTAGGCACAGGACCCTGTGCACATGGCCAACGTGCACCTTGAAGGTTTAGCTCCGGGTTCGGATCCCACACGAACCCCCACAGCCTGTCCTGGTTTACTGAGATAAAGCTTGGGAGCAGGGGTGAGACCACATGGGGTGTGATGCTCACCACAGCCACAGCATCACAGAGCCGTTCTCGGGGGATGTGCTCGGTGATAGAGGGACATTTCTCCTGCAAGAGCAGCACAGACTTCAAGGCCTCGGCAGTGCAGTCAGCAACAATCCAGCCACAGTCCAGCGTACTGAAGGGAAAGCCGCCCTGGACAACACAAGTGTGACCACTGAGACTTCATCAGCAGAGCAAAGGCCCATCCGGGACCAGGGAACCCAAGGTGGGATACTCATCAGATGGACCTTGGCACACACTGGTGTGTGCCAAAATGAGGCATGGCCACACGTATTCAAACTACCCAGGGGATGAGAGCAGCCCACACAAGATAGCCTTGCACAGGAAGCAGGAAGTCCAAAGGAAAGGGCTAGCTGAGCTTTGGGACTTAGGAGAGTTGGCCCATACATACCTTGTTCATCTGGCGGTAGTATTTCTGATAGCTGGGAGGGTTGTTTGGGACCTAGGCAGCACCAAGAGGACATGGTCACAATGGCGTCCAGAGCCTCATGCTGCGGCCTGGGGGCTGGAGCTACTGCTAGCCACAGCTACCATTACTGCAGTATGGCACCCACAGCCGTACCACTGCTGAGAAGCAGGACCAGCAGAGAGGGCTGAACAACCTGCTCTCCCATTGCAGCCCCAAAGAACTTAAGGCAGCTCCTAAGCTGCCTTGCTCAGCTCAGCTAAGTGACAGAGCAAACAGGCCTGGGTGGGCAGCAGGGCCCAGGCTGCTTTGCAAGTGCACATGCTGGTCCTGCAATGAGGGAAGAGCAATGTTGACTTGACCCCCACTAGCCCTGGAGAGCCTCAGCCACAGGGAGGCCCCAAGAAGCTCACCCCAGTGAGCTCAAAGGTGAGAAAGCGCGGGGCACTGGAGGCTCACGCCAGTCATCCTAGCTACTCAGGAGGTTGAGCTCTGAGGATCACAGTTCAAAGCCAGCCCAGGCAGGAAAGCCTTTCAGACTCTCCAATGAACCACCAGAAAACGTGAAGTGGTGCTGTGGCTTGAGTGGTAGAGTGCTAGCCTTGAGCTGAAGAGCTGAGGGACAACAGCGTGCAGGCCCAGAGTTCAAGACCCATGACCAGAAAAAAAGGGGGGTGTGGCGAGAAAGCCAGAGACAGGTGGGTAGGTGCTCTAGGCAGGGGCAATGCCAGCTGGAACAAGGCGGAGGAGAGTGCTTTGGCTGGGGCAGGGGTAGGGGCTGGCAGAGAAAAACAGAACACACGACAGAGACTACAGATGGGGTGGTAGGCAGGGGTGAGATGCTGAAAATGTTCAGATGGGCTCGGGAAGATATGCTAACCTGGTGGGCAGCTTCTGAGGAGGCCAGCTCAGACCTTCTAAACAGAGTGGCTCCAGCACAGAGACCAGAAGCTACCAGCTGGCCACAGCCACTGCAGGCTACGCCAAGAGCTGCCCTTGAGTGACTGAGGCAGCCTAGCTGGTTAGGGCAAAGTGGAGGCAATCGGGGAAAGGAAAAGGTGAGGAAGTTTCAGACCTCACCTGTGAAAGCCGCAGGAATCTGTGTGCATTCTGCAGGCAGGACAGAAACTCGGGCCTGTGGTGTGCACCTGCCTGGAAGACAGAGGACAGTATGGTTTAGCCAATCCCTGACTGTCTTGGCATCATCCTCTCCCCACCACAGCCAAGAACCAGACGGACACATATCTCTGGAGAGGTATCTGTAGGGAGTTCTAGGGTTTGTTGCTGCACAGATAAAAGTGAGCCATAAATGAAAATTAAAGTCCTCTAACACCCAAAGTGAAGACCCTCAGCCTCACCTTAGGGAGCCCCATCTGGCTTAGGCCTTCTTTCAGAAACACCCTCAGGATTCCACCAGCACATGAATACCCTCACTCCTCTCTAGCACATACAAAAAAAAGGGCACACAGCAGCTCAAGTTCTAAAAGCCCTGTGCCCTTAGAGCCTTGGTAGTTTACCCGGCCTGCTCCCTCTGAACAGCTGCCCACAGGCTGGACCCCAAAGCCCAGACGAGTCCAGCATCCAGGCTGCACGGAGGGGCAGCACCTGCACAGGTTTCTTGGTGTTAGGCTCGTGGGAGCTTCATGGGACAGCATGTGTGTTCAGCAGTGTCACATCTCGGAGTGGACGTGTGCCCCTGGCGCAGGCAGGCAAGGTGGAGGCTACAGGGAAGCCAGAAGCACGTACCTCCAGCATAGCTTGGATGGCAAACGAGGTATCCCAGACCTGTGAGCCGTTGGTGCCCTGCATGTAAAGGATACGCAGTTACCTTAACCTATAATGTCTTCTTGTTCAAGCTCGAGAGCCAGCCAAGCCTGGGAATGCTGTTTCCCATAGTCCAAAGTGAATAATAAGGCTCTCCCACCCCTACCCACCTGGCAGCAGGACACCAGCTGTCAGGACGTATCTAGGATTAATCCCGTACAGATCTCCACTCCCACTGCGCACAGCACCCCAGGCATGGAGCGAGCAGAAGCACTTCCCACTGAGAGAAGTGTGCCTGAGGTGGCAGGACCTAGCCGAGACACTAGAGGGCACTGATGGGCGAAAGAAGGCCCAACCTCAAATTTCACCCTGGAAGCTTGGCTCCGGGACAGTCCCAGTTCAGAAGTTGGGTAGTTGGGTGGCCAAATGGCACTAAGTCTTGTCCAGAGACTATTGAAGTATCTGACAGAAGCCTTCCCCCATGGCTCCTCAGGGGTCACAGACTCCAGTCAGAAACCTCTGCACAGCCAGGCACCAGTGGCTCAGGCTCAGATCTGAGGATCACGTTCTAAGCCAGCCTGGACAGGAAAGTCTGTGAGACTCTCATCTCCAATTAACTACCAGAAAACCTTGAACAAAAAAAGCTCAGGGACAGTGCCCTGAGTTCAAGTCCTATGACCGACCAAAAAAATTTTTTTAAAAAGAAAGAAACCTCTGACCAGAGCATTTGCTGGCCAGAACCCAAGAAGTATCTGGAAAGATGCTGATCACACATGATATGCCATCTCTAGCAAAGTATTTCCTTTTATTTATAGTCGTCCACATGTGCCCTCTTCCTATGCCAGAGAGGAAGTCCTTGTGCTGCACTCAGACCTAGCTATACTCTACAGACTAGATGTACTTCTTGTACCCACATTATAAGAGAAGGACAGCCAAGGTGACCCCAGGAACCAGGAGCTGAGGATACAGAGCTCCTAGTGACCTTCCAAAGGAACCTCCAGAAGATGGTGCAGAGGACAGGCCACACTATCCAGAGGTCACCTTCTACCACAGCAGTAGGGGAGCGCGTCTGCAGGGTCTGTTGCGGTTCAGTCCACCTGACAGTAATGGCAGAAGCCCACAGGAGAGTGGGCAGCACCCGAGACAGAGGCACCTGGGAAGGCCTCATGGCTCCTGAAGACACCAGGCCCAGTTGGCAGCCTAGTCTCACATGCACTGCTGGATGGGCACTGTGTTCCTTCCTCCTTTCTTTAAGACAGTCTCTCTATGTTGCCCAAGCTGGCCTCAAACGTGTGCTCTTCCTGCCTCCACTTCCCAAGTACTAGGATTACAGGCATGCAACATCATGGCCAGCTTTAACTTCTGAATCTTGAAGAATCCAAAAGGAGCGCTGGGAAGGTGGCTCTGTGGTAGAGTGCTTGCCTTGTAAGCCTGAGGCCCTGGGTTCGATTCCTCAGCACCACATATGCAGACAAAGCCAGAAATGGTGCTCAAGTGGTAGAGCGTTGGCCTTGAGCTGAGGAGCTAAGGGACAGCGCCCAGGCCCAGAGTTTAGGCCCCACCGCCAACAAAAAAATAAAAATAAAAATAAAAAAATTCAAAGGACTGACAAATACAGGGTAAGCCTGGCATGGTAGAGTATGCTTGTAAACCTACTATTTGGAAGGCAGAAGCAGAGAAATATAAGTTTAGGGATAGCCTGCGCTACACTGTGAGACCTGTCTAAAATGAATATAAAGTATAAACAAAGGGCAGAGATGGCTGCAAAGAAGGCCAGCAGCCTGGATCTCGCAGCCCTTACCTGCATTTTCATACCATCAAGGCCCAGCCTGTGAGAACAAGAAAAGCCACGTAAAAGACACGGAGAAAGCCAGATGTCCAACCAGCCGCCCAGAGCCACAGCACGGGGGGGGGGGGGGGAGGAGGGGAACGTGAGGCACAGGGCTTGTGCCCTATGAGCATCCATCACCCTGAGGCCTAGTGCTGGCCTTGGTACTGCCCAGCTAGGTTCATGGGCATACAGCAAACGTGATGGCAGACCTCAGACCAGGGCTTGCCTGGCAGGGACAAGCAGAGGGTTCTGCTGTCCTCGTCCATTGCCAGGCTTCCTGAGGGAAGAGGTCTCCACAGCACAGGGGCTCCCGCCAGGGTTCTTAAGACTATCCCCACCTCAGGGACAGTCCACAGGCCTTCCTCACTCTCACCTGAACCTACCTCCACCCATCCACCATTGTCCTGGGCTGCTCATGGAGCCATCCAATGTTCCTGCCAAGGGGCAGGTATCCCATCGAAAAACAACCTCACAGGCACTCAGAGATCCAGGCACCACGCACCTGGCATCCCACTGTACCCTCAGGTGCAGGGACCCAGCACCATGTCTGCAACTCTGCACGCCATACTCACCAGAGGTAATCTGGGATCCTGGAGACATGCTCCTGGAAGGCAGAAGAGGCCGGCCCATCCACAGCCCAGCGCACAAGCATATTGATGGTTTTTGAGATCTGTGAGAGAAGCAGACATCAGGGCTTAAGCAGCTTTGCTCCAGGATCAGCTCAGGGCACTTTCTATTCTAGTAGGAGCTTCCTTAAAGCTCCTGATGCACAGCAGGGCCCCTACGAAATGACTCAGACAGAGGCTATCAGTCAAGGTCACTGGAAGGACAACCGAGATACTGAGCCCCCCAGCAGTGCCTGCTGGGTTCATCTAGAGGAACCATGGACTGGCTCACCACAGGGTGGTCACCACCGCCACAGCACACCCATCACCCCAGTAACCCCCTGCGCGGCCAGCCTCACTCTGGCCATGGCCACTGGGCCCGAGGCTTGTTCCTTGAATATACCTGCATATATTCTGGCTTCCCTCAGAATCGTAGCCCCGGAGGCCAAGCAGGACCAGAAGCCCTAGCACCCTCCAGCACAGGGAGATCAGGAATGGTGCATAAGGGCCCCGATATCCCCATGGTCCCTCCCCGGGCACCTCTCAACTCTAAGAGAAAGACAAATGCTAGATTACTGGGGTGGTACCAGGAAAGTCAGAGGAGCTGGGCAAACCTCAGGAGGTGGCTCCTAGAAGCAGGTATGCAGACACTAGTCAAGAGCAAGTGACAGGATGAGTGGCTTCTCTGCACAGAACCCAGGGCACAGGGGATACAGACAGGACTCTTATCACCACCGTCTGGAGGTCCAGGGCTCCAGGGAGGTTCCCTCATGCCCAGCTCCACAGAGACTGGCCCCTGGGGTATCTGACAGGTACCCACTGCGTCCAGGGGTGGGGAACTGACCGGGCCGATGCTGATACTCTTGGTGAAGCGGTCGTCGGCTGCGATGTGCTCGTACAGCATCCGAACAGCCTGGTGCCGCAAGGTGGTACTGTGGAAGCGCTCATACAGGTTGAGGAGCCCTGCAGGGCAGCAGAGGGGCAGCAGGGGGCCTGGGTCCACTGTGGCCTTGGCCAACAGCGCAGCATCTAGCCCTCTTTATCTGGGTTCCATTTCCCATTTATCCCACCTTCCCTGCCCCTCCTCCTTCTTAACCAGGAAGTTTTATCTTGCCCTGGTAGTGTTTATGGGCCTTTCAAGACGGAACATCAAACTTGGCTTGCCCTAGATACAGATCAGCAGACCAGGGCTACGTCTCCCACCCCAGAGCCTGGCACAGACGAGGTCGCCCACTGCCACAGACAGGATAAGAAGAGGAATAACACAGGCCAAATGAGCAACACCCCCGCTGCCTGCTGCTCAGGCCTTCCCAGGCGCAGGGCAAGAGGTTCTCTAGGGAGATACCTACCATACACAACACGAAGCAGCCAGCTATGGGGCCTGTACAGGTCACCTGGGGACACATTATTCCTCTGTGCCGGCCAGTTGATGCTGGAATAGTCTTCCACATAGAGCTCCTGGAGGGTGGGGGACACGTAAGCTGCAGCTGGTAGAGGAAGGAGACATGCTTCCTAGACACAGAGGAGAGGCGGACACCACCAGAAGTGGCCTCGAACTGCCAATTCTCAGGACTCAGTCCTGCACTGCCGGGGGCTGAGTAACTGAATGAATGACCAGTGCATGGTGTCAAGCCTGGCCATCTCAGTTCAATCAGGGCCATGCAGAGGAGCTGCTTCAGCTCTGAGTCCCAAAGATACTCCTTCTTCCTTCCCAAGGGCACGGCACAAAATACACCCTATACTCAAACTCCACCTCAGGGGTTGCTGACCAAGGACATCCATCCACACATGGGTCTGGACTGCTCAGGGACTGAGCACACATGCAGGGTCCCCTCGGGACACAGGGCCATGGCAACTGCCTGTCCCAAGGCACAAATCCCTCTGAGCAGAATGTTTATTATCTATTTACAAGAAAAATGGTAGAGGCTGGCAGGGTCCCTCGACGGGGACCATGCTGCTAGATCCCAGTGTGGACATGCCTTCCCCACATCCCTGGGGTCAGAGGCTCACCTGGCGGAGGCTCTGAACCAGTGGGTCCTCGGAGGCACTCAGTCTGGTGGCATAGCAGTAGCTCATGGGCAGGTAGACCTGCCGGCAGTGGCACCAGAGAGTGGAGGGGTGTGCAGGCATCCAGCTGGGAAACAGCCTGGAAAGCAACACATCTCAGTGGGTCAACAGGACATAAGCCTGCCTGTGTGTGTCAGCCCTGGGACCTGGGCCTTCTAATCTGGGCTACCAGGTGGCTGCTGGTCATTCCCTCTGCCAGCATGAGCACCACTCCCTTTGGCTGAAGTCAGGCTGTCTAGTGCCTGGGAGGCATCTCTGGTTTGGGCATTGCCTGCCCTCCAAGGACTCCACACAACCCTCCCTATATGGTGATATTAGTGGGCTTGTATGTCTATGATGTCTTCTGGGGAAAGTTCACAACTCTCACTACATAGTTAAAAAGCAAGCAAACAAACAAACAAACACCAGAACATGGGTTTCAGATAGTAAGGAATTAACACAAGCACTACTAGGCAAATACTATCCATTCTATTAAAATACACATGCAGGGGCTGGGAAGGTGGCTCAGTGGTAGAGCGCTTGCCTTGCATGCATGAGGCCCTGGGTTAGATTCCTCAGCACCACATAAGCAAAAAGAAAAAATCTGGAAGTGGCGCTGTGGCTCAAGTGATAGAGCGTTAGCCTTGAGCTGAAGAGCAGAGGGACAGTGCCCAGGCCCAGAGTTTAGGCCCTACAACTGGAACCCCCCCCCCAAAAAAAAGACACATGCAGACGTATTGGTGGCTTAAATGACATCTGAGCCTAGGTAAACATACTAGATAAGGGGAAGGAGAACTGAGGCTAGGGGGACCTCCATCCTCTGCTCCTATACATAATCGGGACTTTCAGAACCACTAGATCTATACCACAACCCTACATAACCAAGTGTCTGTGCCACACTCCCAAACCCCTGCTACCTACCAGATCTCTGGACTGATTCAGTGCATTTCTCTCTCCTGACCAGTGACTTAGGGCGTGAAGAGGCTCTAGAGGCCCCACACAGCCTCATCCACCAGGAAAGGCAGCCACGCAACCCGTTGCTCCACCAGGGAAGGCAGCCACGCAGCCCCATCACTCTACCAGGGAAGGTACCCATGCAGCCCTGACGCTCTACCAGGGAAGACAGTGCAACAGCAGAGAACAGGCTTACCACATCTCAGGGAACAGGGTGTTCAGGCCTTCCCAGCTGTAAACATTCAGGATAGCAAGCCAGAACTTCCCCCAAGAGGGGATACCGACTGCACCACCTGCAAAGAGAACAAGCCTGTCCGTGAAGATCAGTCACAGCTGTCACCTGAGCCCCTTCCTGCATGAGCCAAGGGTAGCCTTCGAGGCTCTGCAGCCCCTACACAGGAAGCAGGCTCTACAGCTACTGGGGACACTGGATGGAACCAACACTTTTCTCGAGAACAAGTATGTCAGATTCCAGGAGAGCTGTTGGAAGCCTCTAATTCTAGGAAGGAGCCCAAGAAGGCACCTACCCAAGCTGTAGGGATACTTCATGCTCAGATAGCAAGAGGCCCACAGGTGCTTACATGTCAGGAGAGGGGAGGCTTGGCTTTTCCCACTCAGATCACAAGTATGCTGCCTGCTTGGCAAATAGCCCAGTGCAGGTAGAATGATGGACCAGCCTCCAGACACCAGCAACAGCTGGCCTCAAGCACAGGACATGACAGCACTGAATCTGACATGCTTTATGAGAAGGCCTAGCCAAACCCAAGTGTATGAATATCAAAACGACCAAGGAAGCTACTGAGCAAAGCACGGCCCAAACACAATGCTCCTCAAGGCAGGCATCAGGAGAGCTTTAGAACTTACAGTACCCATGAACTCAGCATCAATGACCTTAAAGGCTGAAGATGAATTACAACAATGAAAAGAATATAAGATCTCATAACAATATGTATTTAAGCCAGGCACTGGTGGCTCATGCCTGTAATCCTAACTACTCAGGAGGCTGAGATCTAAGGATTGCGGTTCAAAGCCAGACTGGGCAGGAAAGTCCATGAAACTCTTATCTCCATTAAACCACCAGAAAACCAGAAGTGGCACTGTAGCTCAAGTGGTAGCGCGCTTGCCTTGAGCTGAAGAGCTGAGGGATGGTGCTCAGGCCCAGAATTCAAGTTCCACGATCAACAACAAAAAAAAATGTATTTAAGCCATGTGCCATTGGTTCATACCTATAATCCTAGCTACTCAGGAGGCTGAGATCTGAGGATTGTGGTTCAAAGTCAGCCCAGGCAGGAAAAGTCCATGAAACTCTTATCTCTCTGACTAACCAGCAAAAAGGCTTAGGGACAGCAACTAGGCCTAGTTCAAGCCCTAAGACTGGTTAAAAAAAAAAAAAAAGATGTAAGTAAAAAATAGGAGTTTCTAAGATGGCTAAAAAAATAGGATGGAAGGATGCAGTGTATGGGAGCCAGAAAGGGCCTTGGGGAGCTGACAGGAGGCCCTAGTACGTGGAGAAGAGAACAGGGTGGGTATGGTGGGGTATAGGTCTTTGAGAATAAGGTAGAAGGCATGCCAGACCCTAGCACATGTTGTGCTTCACTTCTGAAACAGCAGGAACTATAAATGCTGCCAGAGGTCAGATTTCAAAGCCCAGAGACAAGTAGAAGCAGAAAGCTGGTGCATAGAATGGCAAGTGTGGAGGACATGAGCAGAACCCAGCTCCAGGGGACTGCTCACTAGGTCTGGACTGCCTCCAGAGGGCAGACTATACACTGATCCAGTAGCAGTGAATAACATGTGGGTTTTAGATATCTTTTTTTTTTTGGGGGGTCCGATTGTGGGGCCAGAACTCTGGGCCTGGGCGCTGTCCCTCAGCTCTTCAGCTCAAGGCTAGCACTCTACCACTTGAGCCACAGTACCACTTCCGGCTTTTTTCTTTTTGCTTATGTGGTGCTGAGGAATCGAACCCAGGGCCTCATGCATGCAAGGCAAGTGCTCTACCACTGAGCCACCTTCCCAGCCCTAGTTTTAGATTTCTAATTCATGAAACAAAGAGAATTAGCAGGTGTTTTTAATGTGTGTTTAAAAAAAATTTAGATGTGTTTCTTCCTATTCTGAATTCCCTGTCCATTTATTTTGCCATGTGTCAGCTGGAAATGTCCCTGATGTTCATTTGTAAGTGCTCACTGCTCCTGTCAACACAACACAAGTCCTTCGACTATCACATGTATGCAGGATGTACCTTTCTTTTTTTTTTTTTTATTTGTGAAGATACTGTACAGAGGGGTTACAATTACATGGGCAGGATAATGCGTACATTTCTTACCAAGCATTGCAGCCTCCTCCTTTTGTTTACCCTTCACATCCCTTCCCAGCCTCCCCCCTACCCCCCCAATGTACCTTTCTTATGAAGGGTGTTCCGAGCCCGTACCAGGTCAGGATCGTCGGGCCCAATACCCAGGATTCTGAGAGCCACATAGTTGAGTGCAGTTCCAAACACCGTGGACTGGTCCTCGATGTGCCTATTGCAAGTAGAAAACTAGTGGGGAAGTGACCTGCCACTATTTCTAAAACAGAAAGCAACACTGGTAGTGAAGTTTGTCTAGAAAAGAATGCTAAAATACCTTCCACCAACATGACATGAAAACACAGGAGGCACTGTGTGTGTAGCCACTCCCAGAGAGAGTTCACTCATATCTCTTGACACCTGAGTAGCTTTACACTGAGGGGCAGGGCTGCTCCCAGAGGGTGTGCTGCACAGAAAGCAAGGCGCCATCTGCTGCCACTCGGAAGCAGAGACAGTGTTCTGCCTTAGTGATTTTTTGTCAGTCTTGGGGCTTGAACTCTGGGCCTGGGCGCTGTCCCTCAGCTCTTCAGCTCAAGGAGAGCACTCTACGACTTGAGCCCCAGTACCACTCTGGTTTTCTGGTGGTTAGTTGGGGATAAGAGTCTCATGGGCTTTCCTGCCAAGGCTGGCTTTGAACCGCGATCCTCAGATCTCAGCCTAGGATTACAGGTGTGAGCCATCAGAGCCCAGCTTTCTTAGTGATATCTTAAAAAACAAAACAAAACAAAAACTGATGGCTTTATCTTGGTCTGTAGGTCTCAAGAGATAGATAGACCATGAAACCATTCACAACAGGCATGAAGTTAAAGCACATACCCCCCCCCCTCTTGCCAGGCCCTTTCCACTCTACCCCAAGCCCATGCCCACAGCTGCAATTACCCTGCCTCAACAGCTACCTGAAAACTTGAGCCAGCCGACACAACACACGCATGCACGCACACATATGTGTGCAGACTCACAAGCCCCAGCCGCCATCCGGGAGCTGCACAGATCGCAGGTACCGCACCATCTCCTCTCTGCACCCAGCTGGCAGGGGGATGTGTGCCACGTGGCACGTGATCAGGAGCCCTGCGTGTCAGGAAAGATGTTCCTCACTGAGTGAAAGTCCTCCACCCTGCTAAGCCCAGTACCCTTGTGTACTGAGGACCCCACCCTAGCAAGGAATTGGGCCTCCTTCCTGTGAATTCCTGCAGGGTCAATCAAAGAACGTGGGACCAGGGCTCAGGAAGGCCGTGGGCAGCACTGGTGGCACTCACAGCCCAGGACTGGTCGAGCCACACAGCCACATCTGGTCCCTGTGTTGTGTCACAGAGACTTGAGGAGGTTCCCAGCCTGGTCCTCTGGTGCACAGGGCTCCCGGGTTATCACTCACCACACTCCCCTCACAGCAGCCTCACTAGAACCAGGTGCCCATGTGGGCAGAGTTACTACTGAAACAAGCCCATAGGGGCTTAGTAGTAGTGTTTGTCGAGAATGTATGAAGCCCTGGGTTCGATTCCTTAATACCACATAAAGTGGAAAAGGCTGTGGCTCATGTGGTAGAGCACTAGCCTTGAGCAAAAGCTCAGGAATACTGCCCAGGCCCTGAGTTCAAGGCCCACGACTGACAAAAAAAAAAAAAAAAGAATTCAGGTCACTGAGATAATAGGATCACAAGTGTCTGGGGGAGAAGGGTCTTAATTGCAGGAAGGAAATCTCCCACGTTATAAGGCTGAATATTTCTGTAGATAAACAATCTTGTCTAGCCAACTCAGTTTAGGGTTCAGGCATCCTACTGCAATCCTCTTAATATTCACTAGCCCAACCTGAGGTTTCCCTGCCAGGGCCCCTCAACCACCCTTTCAGGATGAGTTCACAACAGACACGAGTGCTCATGTAGACATCAGCTCTTCACCTGCCACCTGTTCCTGCGGAACCTTGGCACAGGGTGAGACCTTCACCTCGCCTGTACCCTTCCCACCTCATACTGCGACTCAAAAGCCTCCGCTCACTCTTTGTCAGAGCACCGATCATTCTTGACAGCTCTGTGTCCATTCCCCAGCACCAGATGCAGAAGGACTGGACCCTGGATTTCCACCTGCTTCACCAATAGCCCTGGCCCTGCCTGAGTAACTTTGCCCTTGAGCTGAGGTGGCATGCTATACCTGGAAGAAGGAAGAGTGGGCCACCGTAATCACCTGCCCAGTGCCCATCTTCAGCCTGCAGCTCCACATAAAATGTTACTCCATTCAGAGCCCCCTCACGGGCTGTTTGAGCTTTGGGCAAGTCCTTAAAGTATTTTCCCTGCAAATGGAGAGAAGAAGAAGAAGAAGAAAAAAAAAAAACAGCTGAGATGCCTGCTGACCAGCCAGATAAGTCCTTCTCTTCCACAGCCTGAATCAAAATTATTTTAAGCTATCAAAAACTTTTGATGTCCTGGATGATAGTATCACACCTCACTGAAAAGGACCAGTCCATGTCTTATGATTATGCTCTCAAGTGACTATCTGCATATTTCTTCAAAAGCTCAAAATATCATAAATAAATTTAGGCTTTTCCAAGACCCCTGGGATACGGGGCAGCTCTCTAGGCCAGGGCCGAGAGCCGGTTTATACACTACCGTGTGTAGCTGAAGTTCCTACAGGGACACACACAGCCAGACACTGGGTCAGAGAACTTCCTGTTAATAAAACAAAACCAAAGAGCATGATGAAGGTGGCTCACACCTGTAATCCTAGTTACTCGGAAGGCCAGTTCCACGAGAATCTCATCTCCAGTTAACCGGCATGGAGGGCCAGAGCAATTTAAAGCCAAGGGCCTGGGCCCAGCCCTAGCACCACACCACCGAGCACTAAGGTTCGCTGCTCTGGCTCGCTCCCCTACAGATCTAAAACTAGACCCGTTTCTTAGGCAGGAGCAGAAGTGAGACAGGCCGCCATCCACAAGGCCCTCCTAGCGCCCCCACCGCAACGGCCTGCACGACTAGCCAGCCAGCCGGGGGTCAGAGGCAAGAGGCCAGCCTGGGACCATCCAGGGGCCAGTCTGGGCCCAGCCGGAGGCCAGCCGGGGGCCAGCCAGCCAGGGACCAGCCTGGGCCAGCCAGAGACCAAACGGGGATCAGCCGGGGGCCAGCCAGCCAGGGACCAGCCTGGGCCAGCTGGGGACCAGCCAGCCAGGGGCCAGCCGGGAGCCAGCCGGGGGCCAGCCGGGGTGCGCACGCGGGTCGCGGGCCGGGCCACTTACCGTGTCCAGGCCCAGGGAGTGGGCCTCCAGCGCGGTCTGCTCCCGGCCCGCGGCCTCCTCCCCCGGCAGGTACGTCCACGTCTGTCGGCCCAGCTCGTTGCGGAGCCGCCAGCGGCCCAGGTCCGTGGCGGGCTCGGTCCTGTAGGGTCCCCCGCGACGACGCAGACAGCTGCGGGGGGCAGGCGGGCTGAGGCGCGGCGCAGGCCGAGGGCCCCCACCCCGCAGGGCGCCCCACAGC